ATTACCTTACTGATGAGTCCAGTAGTGGAAGCCGGGACGAAACGCCAACTTGTTATATTCTTCGCAATCTTATTTTTCACGGAATTTGATTTATTATTAATTTAATTTACATTAAATTAATAATAAAAATCGTTAAATTTTAATATATGTCTTTCAACATAGTATTAAGATCCATAAGATGCTATAGGCATCAAATTGTTAAATTGCTTGTTAATTTAACTTAGTGATATTACTGCGGTAGTGAATATGTATGCGTCAATGCTGAAAATCTATCAGCGTCGCGGGGGGGACTACATACGCAGTATATAAAATTTCACACAATTATTATAAGCACGTTGATCTAGCTTCGACCGTTATAGGCTTCTTCTTCTAGTTTATTATTGTTTATCAATTACGGTCATAGAAATATTTAATATTTGTTAGTATTTATGCTGTTTCAACATGGCCGAAAGTGACTGCTTATGTATATGAAAGTACTGTCAATACGGCTTTAATAATCAGTATGTAACATTTGATCGGATGCAAAGAACACAATAAAAAATATTTTAAAAAATATTGAAAAAATAATTTAAAAATATTATATACCGAAAGATAGTGAAATACGGCGAAAAACTGGGATGGTGGGAGGGGAGGGGCGGGGTGAAGGGGTCAAAGTTGGTGGAGATGTGAGATACACATTTGTAGTATTATTTAAATTCTTTAAATTATGAACTGATTGTAAATGTTAATTGTGCTTTAGTTGCAATTAAAATAATAATTGCAACTAAGTTAGTCCACAATGTTACCAGTATTTTTCAATTTTTGTCTTTTTAGTTTTATTCAATTTGACGTATATTACTGAAATCATGTTGACACACCGAAATAACATTATTGTTGATTTAATTTCATTTGATTTCCTTAGTGAGTTTTCTTTTAGAAATTTTGACATAATATTGTTTAACATTTATTAAGAAGGTTTTCTACCATCGTTTCAGAGATATTTTATACATACGACTTTTCAATCGTGTGTAATTAATGTCGTTTCTCTATGAAAACTCACAGGATTAATGGAAATTGCACGAGCGATCTTAATTTTGTCCACCGCTTTTAATGGAAACTGCACGAGCGATCTTTTTATCGATTAATTTTGTCCACCGCTTTTTAATATGTCTGAGGAGGGCTCAATCCGAGAGCCAAAATTTGTAACTTATTTATATATATTTATTTATTATCATATTTATTTGTTTAAAAGCGAATTAACGTTATGTTAATGTTTAATTATCGAAAGTTATTAATTATATGTTTTATTTTTTCACCCGTGCACGTAATGTGCCCTACACCTTAACGCTTTTGCGTGCGGTAAATAGCCAATACCTGAAGCCGTTAAGTTATTTCTCTAATCCCACTCTTCTGCGCAAAAACGTTGCTGTATAGGGCACATTACGATGAGCACTTGTAAAGAAAAATTCTATGTGTAGCGAGTGGGGGCATATTTGTTTATAGGCCGACTCGCTTCGCTCGTACGGTCGCGCCCGTCCCCACAATAAACAAGTTTCCCCCACTGTTACACAATATACTATTGTTGTGAACACAAAAATTTTTATTGACTCTTATATCGCCCTTGACTTCGTATTGTTTACAAAATTCTTTTTAATGTAACTAGAAAAAAAGTTATGTTTGTTAAAGGCTGAGGAATTTTGTTACAATCGTCCCAACCCTTGGGACGATTGTAACAGTAGAGAGGGACAATTGTACCACACTATTTATAAATAAAATAATGATTATTTTATTGATTATTTATTTTATTAATGAAACTTCTTGTATATATAATTATGAACATTTATTACATTTGCATAAATTTTATTATTTAAGTATAATGCAATATCTATATAAAGGACCTAAATACATGTAACAACAATGTAATAAATGTTCATAATTATATATACAAAGAGTTTTTTATTAATAAAACCAATAAAATAATCATTATTTTATTTATAAATAGTGTGATAGACATAGTCATGAGATACGAATTTTTTTTAAACTTGCATTTTTCAAATGCTTGTAACTTTGCGAAAAATAAACCAAATAAACCGTTTTTTTTTAATTGTGTGTTTTTTTTCTAGTTTTCAAAAAAAAATATCAAGAAAAGTTTCAAATTTGTGTTTTAATTTTTTTTTTAATTTAATGTAAAAAATTATTAATTTTTTAAAGTATAACACGTTTAATTTTTTAAAAAAAATTCTCATAAAAACTTAGATTTATTTAATGATTTTTAAGACTAATTTAATCGTACTAAAGTAATTGTAATTGTACATGCAAGCTTAATTCTTGTAAAATAATTGTGTACATGCAAGCTTAATTCTTGCATGCAGCGAAGTGTAGCAGTACTCTTACAAATAAGATTGAACAATAACAATTTATAAAAACGAAAAATTATATTGTAAAAATAATCATAATAAAAAAATGATAATTTTAGTATAAAAGTAATATCAATCACGGAAACACTTTTTTTTAAATAGGTAAATATAAAAAAATAAATTATTACATTGTGTGTGTGTGTGTGTGTGTGTGAAAATAAACCGAAAATTTTAGGAAATGAAAAAGTCATTAGTTTATATCTATATATTATTTTATCGTGTAAAAAAATGCAAAATTAAAAAAAATCTATTTCGTAAAAAATAGAAGGAAAAATTTGCCCACGATCAAATCAGTCTTAAAAATCATCAAATAAATCTAAGTTTTTATGAGAATTTAAAAAAAAAATTTAAACGCGTCATACTTTAAAAAATTAATAATTTTTTACATTAAATTAAAAAAAAATTAAACAATTTTGAAACTTTTCTTAATATATTTTTTGAAAACTAGAGAAAAGAAACACAATTTAAAAAAAACGTTTTATTTGGATTATTTTTCGCAAAGTTATAGGCATTTGAAAAATGCGAATTTTGAAAAAAATTCATATCTCATGACTATGTTGATAAAAAAATTTAAAAATATCATGGTAGCTTCTTGCGATGAGTCCTATAATATATCAAAATTTCAGCCAAATTAAAAATCCAAAAGTTTTTGAATGGCACACTTGGGATGGAATGCCTCAAATATATAATATATAATTTTTTTACATTACTAAAATTAAATCAGTTCGGGGACAATTACGTTCCAGGCATCGATGTTACTATTGTCCCCTACTGGTATTTTATAATTCATAGTAAATTTTTTTAATGAAAACCTAGATAAAAATCAACTCAAATTTGAAAAATATCATCACAGATAATCATTAAAACATATTAAGATAATACATTATACCTTTGTTATAAAGAAAAAAAATATTTTGAATTTTGTGCACGTAATAAAAGTTACTTGATGTAGGGACACGGACATGTTTGCTTGTTAAATAATATCAAGATATTCTGTGTCTCTTAATAAATTCACTGATAAATAACGATCACAGCGAGAATTGATTTAAGCACCTAATACTAATTTAATCTCAAATGCTGCAGCACGTGCGTGGCTAATGTGAGGTAATGTAGAGCACGTGTATGGACCACGTGTATAGAGCATATGAATGTGAAGAGCCGTTGACTCATAAAATAATTAAAAAAAAAAACTTTGGCTCGTTAAAATAATTTTTAGAATTTAATATTCAAATAAATAATTCTAAAAATTATTTTAAGAGTCAACGGCTCTTTAAATTCATATGCTCTGTACACGTGGTCCATACACGTGCTCTACATTAGCCACGCACGTGCTGCAGCGTTTGAGATTAAATTATTAGGTGCTTGAAAAATTATTATTAATTTTTTGATTTTACATACCATTTGATGTCCTCGTTGAACTAATGTGTAGTTGCCTGTAAGGTTAATGGGCTTCACTTATAGTCTGAATCCTCCGAGCCTGAAGAAGAACTAATGCACTCCTAACGTCTCGAAGATCTGTATAGAATAAACGAATAGATCATTTGAACCGTTGATGTGGAATATGCTCTCTTAGCGCATGCGCATTGGAGTATGGCATCAATGCTGTACCAATGTCGAACTTGTAAAGGTTCTGTAATGCCCTATTTTGATTTTCCTGTAAGAATCGTATCATTTTTTGTTTTTTCTTGTTTTAATTATTATTAAAAATTCCGCCTTCGTACCAAAATTATAGGATCTCTCTTTTCGCGTATTTTGATTTCGCTCACTAAGTTATCGTTTTTCTGAATGCACCTATGGTGCTCACAGATACATTCCTGGATTTCTGTAACGTTGCAGTGCGCTAAAAGGGGGCGCAACTAAGGTGCTGCGCAGAATAAATGAAATAGGAAACAGAGAACAGAGAATAAGAATTTCAACCTATCAGAAATCATGTATTCCGGTGTGACTGGTATCTGATAGATTGTTAAAATCTTAATATCTGTTCCTGTTCATAATATTATCACCCTCCATTGTGCGCAGGGCCTTTCTTTAATACCTACTCGACTGGAAATGTATGACCAATTTAGATTTAATGTTGTCCTTCTTCTTTTTTGGATATAACTGATACACTCATTATGTAGGTATCCTTCTTAATAAACTTATTGTATATTTATTTGCAAGTTTTTAGAATAAATAAATAAATTAATTAATACATTTAATAAATTCGGTATAAACTGATTTTTTTTTATGTTAAAATATGAAATACAATATACATTAAATTATTTATTATGTATTAAAACGTATAATTGATACTTATATGCTAGTAAAAAAGTAAAACAAAAAATTAATTTGCTGCAATATTTAAGTGTCGTGAAATATATGTAGATTTGACCGTACATTGATGACTTGGTAAAAGCTAAATTACTTTAATATTTTGAATTTCTCGATTAATCGAAAATATATTGTGCCGAATCGTCGATAAAACGATATTTTCAAATATAAGCGTTATGGACAATATATTAGTACGCATAATGTGTATTAATACTATATTACAACATTACAACGTAAAATGATAACTGCATAAGAGATCCACGTATTACTTATTTGAAATGAAGAAAATGGCAAAATTAAAAACAGAAGTAGTAAATGTTCCGTGTTACTGAAACGTATTTAAAACGCCAAACACACACACATACATACACACGAAACTGTTGCGCTATTTTTATCGCATTCTTGTCATTTACGTTGTAATTGTAACGCGGCGGACACGCCTTTATTTTTCATTTTTCGTAGGTACACAACAAACGCAGGATGGATCGTCTCCGGGGCGAGTCGCGTCATGACGGATATAATTGGTAAGAAATTTGTATTGATATCAGGGAATAGAAGTTATAACCCGTTACTTATAACAAAGTTATAGTTAAAAGTTACTTTATTGGTAACTTTAATGATAACTGCGTTATTTTCTTTTTTTGGAAACTGTAATGGTAACGTAGTTACATTTTTTGGATAACTGTAATGGAATTTACATTTACTTTTATCGTTACTTTGCATACGATTGAACACGTTATTTTATTATATAGATAACAATTACATATTATGAATTACGACAGCATATAAATGTGGTTGTAGGACATTGAGTGTTTTTATTTTATACAGGCGTACAAGCTACATTTAGTGTAACTTAATCTAAATATCGTACACATTTTGTTCTAATTGAGCTGTGTAAAGAGCTTTACTCTGTATATTTCTGTGTATATTTATGTTAAGCAATTGGAAAACACTCCTTTTTGCAAAACGTCTGTTATACATACCTATATTTTAATTATAGCGTTATAATTTTCTTTCTATTAAAATATTTGATTTACAGCTAAAAATATAGTTTAAGTAAAAATATAGCTTTTTTACTTAATCTATATGTTTAGCTGTAAATTCATCGAAAGATTTCGATTTTCCGAGTTCAATAATTTCTATCTTTGTGACGCACATGATTATGCAAATGTAGTGTTTGTTGGAACAGAAATCGTAACCGTCATTATACTGCAGGATGCTGAAGAACACTAAAGTTTCTTAGTAATGTGTATTATACTCGTAGCAACTAATATAATACCTTTGTATCCTATAGGTATATACGTTTGTATCCATTTAGGTATATACATACAGGTATATACATAAAGGAGATTCCATAGGCGTATGATTTTTTTTAAACGATAATATAAGTTTTTAATGTGGTTTAGTAATAAACAAAGGAATTAAAAATGAACATATACCATGTAATGTAGGTATTACTTCCATCCCCCTTTACTTCCATTCCCCCTAAATCACATGAAAAACTTATATTATCGTTTATATTTACACGAGCAGTAACATATGTGTCTTAGGTCATCAATTAGAGTTGCGTTTCAAAACCGACGACTGTTCGGCACGTAATTTGGGATGAGGAATGAGTCGAAGGGTTTCTTAATAAACTACAGCGATTTTAAATAGTTAAATAACAAAAAGGGTTTATTGTTTTTATATCTCAAACAAGACTCAGGAAAATACTAATATTTACAATGTTCACAATTTGAATACTTATTATGATTGATACATATATGTATATATATATTTATACTTATCCTAATACTTTATAACTATTTGACATTTTGAATTACAAGCTTAATATTACCATAAACTAATCTAATTAATAGAAATCGGACGATGAAGTATATGTATGTAAGTGTTTGTGTAATTTGAGTAATGAACGCTTCTTCTGTGGATTGGAAAATCTCATTGAGTATTCTGTGTTCCTCAACGGTAGGGGCGAGTAGGATATAGGGATTGAAGAGGGAAGTGTCTCATAATCTGTCAAATCAACGACAGGTATTGTGCTGGTGGTGTTATCAGTCAAGGGAGCGGGTGTGGAAGATTCTAATAGGTGAGTGAGAGATTCATAAATTTCTCCGAAGGCTGCTTGATCTTTCGGAGCAATTGGAGAATCGAAAGGGGGGTATTCTATTATGAGATCGAATAGTTCGGGAGAATCATTGAGAATTATATTAATTACTGGGATAGAGGGAGAGGACTGGTCTCTGAATGTGTGTGTTTTGGTTAAATCTTGCGTTTAACGACAGGCTCCATTCGTTATACTTGTTCTGGTCGGAACTTGTGTTATTATAGGGAAGTTATTTGCCCTTAATCTTTCAATCGTTGCCCGCTTCCTCCGTCCCGCGCGATGCTTATTTCGCCATACCATCTATTCATAACCATTTCTCTCGTTAGGGAAATTTAGACAGGAAAAGAAATATGCAAGAGGAGCGAGAAAGAAAGAGAGAGAGTGTGAGGGGGGAGTGGGTAAGAGAGGGAGAGGGAGAGGGAGAGGGAGGGGAGAGAGAGAGAGAGAGAGAGAGAGAGAGAGAGAGAGAGAGAGAAGAGAGAGAGAGAGAGAGAGAGAGAGAGAGAGAGAGAGAGAGATAAAGTAGAAGAAGACAACTACTTGAGGTGTTATAACACCTAAGTAATTCGGGAAAAAGCAGAAATTAATAATTCATGAAGAGAAAGAGTGAATTGCTTGAGGCGTCGGTCGGCTAAGCAATTCTGAAAGTAAAGAGTGAAGAGTGAATTGCTTGAGGCGTCGGTCGGCTAAGCACTTCTAAAAGTAAAGAATAAAGAGTGAATTGCTTGAGGCGTCAGTCGGCTAAGCAATTCGAAGGAAGAAAGAGTAAATCGTGAATGAAGAAGAAAAGAGAAGAGAGAGATACTGTAGATGGTCGGGAGAATAATAAAAAAAAAAAAAATAGAATTAGAGAAAAGATTTAATTTTCTACCTTCAAATTGGCAGTGGAGTCCCTTCAGAGATTGGAGGCCAGGTGGACACAGTTATCGTGAAGGCTCATGATCATCACACTTGTAGTTCACAGCCGGTTGAATGTGTACAGAAACATTACTGACAACTGTCTTTCGAAATTCTTAACAAAGATATTTTTGTGGTCTGAGTATTTCCCTCATTGTATCTCGCTTCTTGACATTGTTTTATCGTTATTTTTCAGTTTCGCGAGTCATCTCGAGTTATATAATACCATGAATCAAGGCATTTAAATTATTTTGACAGCACAGAGTATATCCAATCCTCGTGTCTCATAATGAAAAAATCAAGGATTGTTAAATCTTTACGCCGTATGTTTGTGTATATGTGTATGTGTGCATCTGTACTTGTGCAATGACTTTACTTCTACCTCAGATTTACGTTTCACTTAATCGAAACAATATGGTCTTTGTATCAAATATACAAAGAAGAAAGCTAATGCTAAGAGCAGCGATCAGCTCAAATCACGCAATGCCGTTAAGTAGGGGATCGCCGAGTTGTCTGGATCGCTTTTGCACCTCCACATCGCGTGAATGATTATGTGTGCCATGTTCAACAGAAGCATTACCTGAAATAATTTCCGTTATGACTTAATTTGTTTCCACAGTTCGCAAAATCGAAATAAAATAATTGAAATTGCGCGACTTACTTGCAATAAGGAAGCAGTTACATAAAAGAGTACAAAGTATACATGTATCATGCAATCGCCCGGGTTTAAAGCATTAGCGATGAAAACAAAGATCAATTGACCGGGGATGGACATAGCGAGGAGCAATCTTGCGGTTTTGGCATATATTGCTATTTATAAAAAAAAAATTTTTTTAAATATCGGACATTAAACATTTATATTAAAAATTTTAATATTAAAGTAATTTCAGGAATTAGGAACGTGTTAATTCCGATTATTATTTTCTTTGTGGAGTTATACGTACATTTCACGAAAAGCGCGTTCCACGGTGTCACACAAATTTTGTTGTGTGGTGGTAGAATTCCCAGGATAGAAGTCTGGTGCAACATGGTTGACATTCGAGACGCTTGCACCGATACTAAGTTGCCGCCAATCCCATTAATGACTGATTGAAAGACTTCAGATCCTTTATAAAAGTCGATCATTCTCTCAAGAACTAATCCACCTCCGCTAAAGACAAGATATTAATAAATATAAATTTAAATGTTTAACTAACATTGTACGTTAAACAAAATAATAATCGAATTATAACTGATCTTTAATTATAGTTTCACAAAAATATGTTATTAAACAAAATGACTGGGAATCGCAAAAACTTTGCGCGATTAATTAAATATTAATAATGGCATGATTATGTGAATTACAGAGCGAAAATGAAAATTGATAATGAATTAATAATATAATCGTAAGACAAAGAGATTGACTGGAATATTCGTGGACAAACGACTTGGAATAAAATCTCTCAGAAAGCCTAGATTAAATAAAATAAGCCAATTTGGCTATACTAACCCACTGATCATAAGAGCAGACAGAATGGGGACCCAGCCAGACTTTAATACTGTTCTCGTGTATTTGTTCTTCAGCACGATTATAATCCAAATCGGCAAAAGCACCAAGTACATTCCTATAACGATGTACAGTATCCATACTTGTGTGTATAGCCTTTTGTAAAATTCTGATGCAACGGTGGAGAGAATACTGATGGACACGACGTCACCGATAGACGCGGCTAGAGGAGTCGTCAGATTGTCTGGATTCATTTTGTATCTATAGGATATCATGATCACGGCGATCAGAACGAAATCTGTAAAGGAAAAATAATTTTCTAACAATTATATAAAAATTCGTTTCGTTGTATTCGTAATAAAGAATGGGATAAACTTCCGAAAATGGCCAACGCCCGATTATTATGAAACTTGGCAGAAATACTCTAAATGACGTCAAATGAATGCCCTTAAAAGGATTTTCACCGACAAGAAGTTTAGTGCCAAAAATGTTTGAATGAAGTTGCAGAAATAAAACGTTCGGTAAAAGTACCGATTAGGGGACCCTCTCCTAATGACCTTGATCTTGACATATGTTGTCAAGGTCATGACCCTGAGTAACCTCCAACAGGTTTTCGCTCGTCCTTCGTTAAAAAGTTATCTCAACAAAATTACCTTTTTAAAAAAAAGGAAAAAAAGGCGCCAAGTGTGTTAGCCTCAAATCCGTAACAATATAAAGGGTAAAGAAGAGTTAATTTAAATTAACTAAAAATAAAATAAAATAAAACTAATGACATATTTAATTCTAAATTAAAATTACAAATAATATATTAAAAACCAGTCTCTTCTTTCACTTCTCGAATAGCACACTGATGTGGCTCCTCATTTTCTAATTTTCCTTTAGGGAAAAACCCCATTTATTTTTTCCCCAATAGCTCTGTACCAGAAGCACCTTCGTCATGTCTTTATTTAAAATAATTGCTCCATACGTCGGCAATTTTCGTTTAAATTTTTCCATTGTTTAAGCACAGCATCACATTGTGATACATATTGTTGTAAAAATGGTATGCATTAGCTGCGTTTGGCAATGCAAATCTGAGGCGTCGGAGTGCTCTTTTTCTATAGTGCACATGACATATGCTATAACATAAGAGCACTCCGACGCCTCAGATTCGCTATTACCGAACGCAGCAAAGTCCTTATTCCTTTTTCTATTAATTTTTTATTATTTTTCATATTCGGAGTTATTTAATAACCATCTTATTATTGTATATTTTGAGGTCTAGCAGCGCCAAGTTTGTTGTACTTACAAATATGATAGGAGCAAATTCGTTCATGTTATATTGTGACAATATAATGTCAGGTTACGATGTGGGTTTGTGCAATAATGGTCCAGGTAAAACCAATGTGCATTTTCTACTTGAGAGCAATGTACCATCAAATTACTCTCCTGATTTTGTGGTATAGGTAGGAAAAATCGCCTACAGAATAATAATAATAATAATAATATAAAATACAAAAAACTGTATAAAAAATATATATATATTGCTACTATATTTTAATCGAGCGAGAAACGCGTTTACTTTAAGAGGAAGCAACATTATTATAGTATCCCTATAGTCGATTTGTAATATTTTTGTTTTTGAAAGCCCACTTTGTAGTCACAACGACGAGAGAAAAGAATTTTATATACATGGTGATTTAAACAGACTCGATTATATATAATATTTCTTATGTCGATTTTTCAAGGTGTAACGAATCGTATAATGGTAGATAAATGACTATGGCTTAGAAGCGCCGCTAATATGTGACAAAGATAATGTATGCTTCGTACAATAAAACATTTTTAATTAAATTTTGTAAGGCATTAATTCTTTGCTTTGTTTAAATCTTATAAGAAAAATAACAACAGAATTATAACGTTAACACTAATTCTCATTTGCATCTGCTTTCTTTCATTCGATATTTTTGATAGTGATTTAATTATATATAATTTAATTTTCTTCAACACACAAATACTTTGTCTAAAAAATGTACATCAAATACAGAATAGATCAAAGACAATAAATTTTTTTCAAATTGAAATAATCCAAAGGTACGATACATAGATTACTTATTATAGTTTCACGTATAATGTCACAAAATTAATAAAAAAAATTATACTGCGAGATACCGCCATATAAAGGCAATTATTATTTGGATTCAATCATTAATACTGATTTAAATTAATTTAACAAACAAAAAGAAATGAAGGTAAATAATATTATAGCAAATAAATTAATTTTCGAAAATGCAACATACATACTGATAATTAAATTAAATTAATATACGCTCAAATAAATTTCCAAATTAAACTTAATATATACCTCCCAGCCAAATTGAGCTATAATATAGAGAGTTGTTAGAAATATATATAAATTTATTCCTAACAACTAGTATAGCTCAATTTGTTCTTGACCTAGGAGGTATATTAAGTTTAATACTGATAATTATTTAGAAAGTACTGTTATTATTAATTCTAGCGACATAAAAAATAATTTCTCATATTATAATGGAACAGTTAATTGAGGATAGCGCGCGCTTATAATGTGCTAGTAGTGTTCAAATATTAAACAAGAATGAAATAATGCTCGTGAGCGTTGAGAACATTAAATAAAATACGTGCATAAAATTTGAAATATTCGTAATTCCATAATTAGCATAACCTTTAATCTTTCCGTAGTTTCCGCGAAACAAACGCTCCTACTACTTGAAAAGAATGAGGCTAGCGACTTATAAAATTTTTTTCACCAAGTTATTCAACGTTGTAGCAAAAGGGTTATTTTTGCTTCAACGTTGAATAACTCGGTGAAAAAAAATCGTACGGAGCTTCGTAAAAAAAGCAAAATAAAAGTAAAGGTTCGCTCTTTCGAATGATGCATTTGTACACAATTTTTATTTCGTGCGTTGAAACTTCAAATTTTGTAAAAAATTTTTAGGTTTTTGACACACTTTTATTTATGTTTGTGTAACTTCACGAAATATCAGTAAGACCGTTTTTTGAAGTACCAGTCACGCAGATTCGAGGTATTCGTTAATTTTGATATATTTTGTTATATCAAAACCAGTCTCTTCCCATACCTCTCGAATAGCACATTGGTATGGCTCCTCACGACGGTCTAATTTTCCTTTCGGAAAACTCCAATTGTTGTTTGCCCAGTAGTTCTGCACCAGAACCACTTTCGTCATGTCTTTATTCAATATAATCGCTCCAAATGTCGGCGCAGATCGTTTGTGCTCTTGCAATTCCTCAAACATAATATCGATATATGATATATATGGCCTTAAAAAATGCAGATGGCTAAACACACGAATAGCAAACGCCTCCATGTCAAATTTTATCAACTTTGGGTCTTTTGTACATTCATTATCTAGATAATCCCAATGTGCCCTTTCTATTTGATAGCCAATTCGTACAAAATCAATTTGCTGCTCTTCAATGATAAATCGACTACAGAATAATAATAATAATATAAAATACAAAAAACTGTATAAATAAAAATA